CGAGCGAAATGCACGACCCCACCCTAGCACGACCATACCCCAGCACGACCACACCCCAGCACGACCAGACCCCAGCACGACCCCACCCCAGCACGACCCCACCCCAGCACGACCATACCCCAGCACGACCACACCCCAGCACGACCCGACCCCAGCACGACCCTACCCCAGCAAGACCACACCCCAGCACGACCACACCCCAGCACGACCTCACCACAGCACGACCACACCCCAGCACGACCACGCCCCAGCACGACCACGCCCCAGCACGACCACGCCCCAGCACGACCACCCCCCAGCACGACCACCCCCCCAGCACGACCCCCCCAGCACGACCACCCCCCAGCACGACCACACCCCAGCACGACCACTCCCCAGCACGACCACACCCCAGCACGACCACACCCCAGCACGACCACACCCAGTCGCACCCCCGTGGAATGTTTCGTGGCGTGTCTGGTTGAGTGGTTGCCTGTTCGTGGGGTGGGGTGTCTCGTGGAATGTTTCGTGAGGTGTCTCGTGGAATGTTTCGTGAGGTGTCTCGTGGGATGTTTCGCGGGGTGTCTCGTGGGATGTTTCGTGAGATGTCGCCCAGTTGGGTATCGTGAAAACGTGACCATGCTGCACATGTCTTTATCCCTTTCCGGGTTCGTGGGTCCATCATGTTGGGGGCCCTGTTGGAGGCCTCTTGGGCCGTCTTGGGGTGGCCTTCGGGCCTCGTGGGCCGTCTTGGAGCGTCGGAAACCGAAAAGGCGAGACCGCCAAATAACCTCAAAGATCGATGATAATTAATGACGTTTGCCTCTTGGGGACCTCTTGGGAGGCCTCTTGGAGAGCTCTTGGGGCGTCTTGAAGGCCCCTTGGGCCATCTTGGGGCCATCTTGGGTGTCTTGGAATGATCTTTCGGCGGCGACTCGGGGCCCTCTTGGGGGCCTAGTGGGGCCCTCTTGGCCATTCTTGGAGCCTTCCTGGGCCGAAGGACGAATCTCGCCACCACTTCCCAAAGCCCAGCGGGCACGCGCCAAGACCCAGGAGATTTCGGAAATTGTGTCCTGGGCCCCTCAAGCCCTCAGGACTGAAGACTGAGACTCGGGGGGGGGGGGGGGACAAAGGAATTGAGGACACGCCCACTCCGTGCCCAGCGGCACGGTGGCGGATATTTCATTGCGAGAAGCGCCACCCTTTAAAGACGCGCGCACCATGGGCCCGCAAATCTGAGGACAGGGGATTGCGGAGTATGCGATCTGTTGAACCTTTTCTTCATTTTTAGTTGCTTTACTGTTCTCTCTGTTTTCTGTTTGTGTGTGTGGGTGGTGTGTATGTGTGTGGGGGAGAAATGTTTCCTCTTCCCGCCACCCCGCAACACAAATCTGAAAACAACCGAAGTCTGACAGTTTGTTTTGTTGTTTTGCTTTTGTGGGCTTAGAAGAGTAACAAGTCCGCCCACACAGGCACACGCGCACACCACCACCCACTCTTCCTCCTCTCCCTCCTCGTGGGTTGTTGTTTCCTATTCCCGCCCCTCTCCCTTAGATTATCCCAGTGCGACCTACCTAGGAGTTGGAGCCCCTAGGAAAACAGCATTAGTAATAACAGTAAAGCTAAGCTGCAGCTAAGTTAAAGCTAAGCTGCAGCTAAGCTAAAGCTAAGCTAAAGCTAAGCTAAATCTAAGCTAAAGCTAAGCTAACGCTAAGCTAAATATAAGCTAAAGCTAAGCTAAAGCTAAGCTAAAGGTAAGCTAAAGCTAAGCTGAAACTAATCTAAAGCAAAGCTAAATCAAAGCTACAGCTAAGCTAAAGCTAAGCAACAGCTAAGCTAAAGCTAAACTAACGCTAACGTAAAACGAAGCTAAAGCTAAGCTAAAGCTGAGTTACAGCTAAGCTAACTCTAAACTACAGCTAAGCTAAAGTTAAGCTAACGGTAAGCTACATGTAAGCTAAAGCTAAGCTAAAGCTAAGCTAAAGCTAAGCTAGAGCTAAGTTGGAGCTAAGTTGGAGCTAAGCTAAATCAAAGCTAAAGCTAAGCTGGAGCTAAGCTAAAGTAAAGCTAAATCTAAGCTAACTCTAGTCTAAAGCTAAGCTAAAACTAAGCTAAAGCTAAGCTAAAGCTAAAGCTAAGCTAAAGCTAAGCTAAATCTAAGCTAAATCTAAGCTAACGCTAAAGCTAAAGCTAAGCTGCAGCTAAGCTAAAGCTAAGCTAATGCTAAACTAAATCTAAGCTAAAACTAAGCTAACGCTAGGCTAAAGCTAAGCTAAAGCTAAAGTTAAAGCTAAAGCTAAAGCTCCCAGGGGACTGGGGGAACCGCGGGGCGGGGACCGGGGGAACCGCCCGGGGCGTGTTACACTGCCCGGCCCCTTTAAGCTAAGAGAGTAAGAACCCTCTAGGCAGAGCCTAGGTAGGGAAACAACATTCAGGAAACACATCATCTGGATGTCCGCCTCGTTTTTTTCGGGGGGGCGGGAAGAGGACGTATCCCGCTCAGACCACATCCTGTCCTATTTCCTCCTTACTCCCTCTACAACCTCCCCCTCCCTCTACCCCCCACCCGTCCTCGTCCTCCTCCCTCCTCTTCCCTCGCTCTATCTCCTCCCCTTCTCCTCCCGACTCCAGGGTACACACGTTGTTGCCGCAGGGATCTTTTCTGAGGGGATCTTTTTTGAATGACATCCCACTCGGGACTCTTCAATCAAAAGGACATTACTAAGGACGCTCTGGTACAACAAAAGAAACAACATCCTTACGAATGTGTGCTTAACGCATCATCGCTAAAGGCTCCTCACTAAAAAAGCTGTCCTTTCGTAGGTTCCCTTGGTCCAGGGGTCCTTGCGAATGAATGTTTATTGAATTTGTCTTCGCCAAAGACCACGCGTTTTAGCGGAAATAAGGCTTAAGAGGATTTAGCAGTGCCTGATAGGGCTGAATTGAACGTGGCAAAGTTTATGCAGGCGTTAAGGTCGACCAAGGTTCACCTGGCCTTGGTAAGGCTTAGCAGACATTAGCAGGGCTGGGCAACGCCCGCCAGGGCTCAGAAGGGCGTGCAAGGACTTAGCAGGGCTCCGCAGGGCTTGCCAGGGTTCAGCAGTGGCTAGTAATGTTCAGTAGGGGCTTCGCAAGGCTTGCCAATGCGTAGGAAGGGCTTACGAAGGCTTAGCAAGGCTTGCCGGGTCGTCGCAAGGCTCCGCAGGGCCCGGCAAAGCTCAGCAGGGCGTGAGTCTTCGTAAGGAGCAGCTGGGCTCAGCAAGTCTCGCCACGGCCGAGCAAGGCTCAGCAAGGCTCAAGGGCCGAGGGTGACAGAGAGCGCCTTCCTCTGCAGGACCCCCCAAAACAGGGACGTCAAGGTGGTCAAGCGCCTAGCCGGTTAAGCCGACGAAGATGTGCAAAGTCCAACCATTCGCCTATGTCGAAAGGTTTGGCTTGACTCTGGGTGTGGTGCATCAATTTCAGTTTTACCGAATAGGTTAATTGAGCCCCTGTACTTCCGTTTGGGATCAGCAGGGCTCAGCAGTGGCTAGCAGTGTTCAGTCGGGTGTAGCCGGGCTTTCCAGGGCCTAATAGGGTTTACCAAGGCTTCGCAAGACTTACCCAGTATTGGCAGGGCCCAGCAGGGCTCAGCAAAGCCCAGCAGGGCTTCAGGCTTTTCACGGGTTTGCAAGGCTGGGCAGCGCTTGCCAAGGCTGAGCAAAGCTCAGCAAGGTTTAGCAGGACTAGCCAAGGCGTGCCAAGGCTTAGCAAGGCTTAGCAGGGCTTCGCAGATCTGACCAGTCCTCGGCAGGGTTTAGTAAGACGCACCAAGGCTTACCCAGGCTGAGCAGGACTTGGCAGAGCTTCCCGTGGCTGAGCAGGGCATGGCAGGGCCTGTCCAGGCTTAGGGGCTGACCAGGGTTCGTCATGGTCTAGCAAGGTTTATCAGTGCCTGGCAGTGCTGAGCTTCCGCAGGCTGTGCAACAACGCGCACTCCCACCACCAAGATGCCCTCAGGAATTTGGAGGAGCCCCAACACTCCCCCCCCCCGAGCATGGCCTTCGAAATTCCGAGCCCATGACTGCTGGCAATGGGCTGGACTTGCGAGGGCCATGCTCGGGAGGGGATTTTCCATCGATTCGAGGTTCTCTTATATATCCTTAGATCTTGCAGGCATCGCCCACAACGTTGTCATTTGCGTAACGACGAGTATGAAGAAGTGGGTGCGGATAGTGATAATGATGGTGATGATGATGAGGAGGAGGAGGGAACATGAGGGGACCCTGCGACGCGACAGCTTGCAAATCTCGTGCGGCAGATCGCAAACTCCACAAGACTTGCTTCCCATTTTAAGTGATGGTGGTCAGGAGTGCGGCAGTGTGGCGCTGCAAAGTTCGAGGAAATGCCAATCGACAGCCTCGCTGTGAAAGAGAGCTTCAAGGCATCCATGTAGCAGCTGCAAACTTTAATTTCCAGCCATCATATTGCGAAATTTCACGTGGTAGACCAATTTGGAAACGGAGTCGCATTGATTAGTGAAACTCTCGCACACACACACACACACATACACACACACACACACGCACGCACGCACGCACGCACGCACGCACGCACGCACGCACGCACGCACGCACGCGCGCGCGCGCGCGCACACACATTTACACTAGCGGCATCCTGTTCCACGAAGTGTTCGGCGAAAATGCAATTTTTGAATATTTGTTGGCTTCCATCCGTGTATTGGTTGGAAGTGGTGAGGGCGAATCTGTTGGGCGCGGAGGCGAGAGCCACTGGTTAAAAAGGGTCGACCCTCCTTCCGTAAATTGCCGAATTGCTGACTTGTCCATCTGAAACGACATGCCCGGCCCGGCCTACGGACACGTATGGTGGTGCGACACGGAGGTGTTGATTATAAGGACGAGGATGTTGGAGGGGGAAGGGGAAGGGGGAATAGGAGGGAGGCTGGATGAGGATGGGTAGCTGGCAGTGCTGGGTAAGCTGCAGGGTGAGAGAAGGGGGGGGGGAATCTGAGAGTTTGAGAGGCTCTGATGACGAACCGCGTGCTGGAGTCGCTCGAGATTGTCAGCCCGTGGCGCCCCGCCGTTGGGCGTGCGAGCGGGCACGAGAGTCGGTGGCGTGGAGCTGGCGGGAGCGAGAATTGCGAGCGGAGGAACGAGTGCGTTAGGCGATGTGCTGTGGAAGATGAGGGGGTTGGGCCCTCTTCCCTGCCCCTGTCCCCCCCCTGCCCCTCCTCCTCCTCTTCCTCCTCCTCCCTGACATGGCCAAATACATTCATTATCATGCCCACGCCTAATGGCACCTGGTACGGCACGACTGTTGCTTTCGCAAGGAGCAGATGACGCCCCACCATGTTGGAGTGCGTTCTTCGAAGAAACATTTGGAGCGACTTCGCACGGAGGAGGACGAGGCGGAGACGGTGTGGATGTTGCATGCGTAGTCCCGTAGCGTTTCGCGTTTGCAAGGAACCGATGGCGACTATTGATGCCCCAATGCGCGTTGCCGCCTTATCGCTTTCCCCCTTGGGCCGATCGAGCGTTGTCGAGCCCACTCTTATTTGGGCTTCGTTTCAAGGAGCGTGCTCCTGGAGCACATGCCTCCGACCGCTTAGGTGGTGGGAGGTTCCTGGATGTGCAATCCCGCCGTCTGTATGTGGCCTTAATATCTAAAGGCTGCCGCCTCTGCCGCCGACCCCAACTGAGCGACGAATGTTTGGTTCGTTTGTTGTCGGGGTGCTTTTCCGAGCACGGCAGGAAGGGTTCAGGTGAGTTTCCTGATTCTCTGTTGCATCTCGGACTCCTTTTGGGGGCAGTTTTGGAGCCTCGTGGGGTCGTTGTGGGGTCTCTTGGGCGGTTCTTGCAGCATTTTGGGGCCTCTTGGATGCCTCTTGGGGCCTCCTGGGGGCCTTTTGGAGCGGAACGCTACGATTTTTGGTTTGTGTTCGTTTTCTTGGGCCACTTTCATGGGGTTGTCTGGGCGGCCTCTTAGCCAGCGCTGGGGTGGTATTCGGGATCTCGGGAACGCCAGAATATTTAGGTAGTCGGGAGTGGCCGAAGGTCGCTCCTGAGACGGATGATGTTCGCCAGGGTTTCCCGATTGCGGCGATGTTTTCCGAGGTGCCTTTTCGGGCGGAGCGCAGGAAGATGTTCGCTGTGGATCCGATGACAAGCGTGGAAAGTTTCCGTGTGATTGTGGACGCGGCACTGCGCCATCTGTTCGGGTTGCGTACTTGTCCGAACTGCCCTAGATGCAACCACCGTGAGCATATGTAGCCGTGCCAGGACTTGCTCGGCAGCAGCGACGCGCCAGAACGTGGAATGTTCGGCAGGGTGGACGCGTGTTACGTCTCCATCGAAGCGCAGAAATCGACTGGCGCGCTGCGTGCTCGTTGTCAGGTTTTCATACAGTGCCTGCAACAACACACACCGCTGGATCGAATTGTCGAGCTCGCCCAGAAAAGCGCGAACCGTTGGGGGCAGAAGTTCGTGGACGAATGTCTGGAATACAAGAGGCGGGTTTGCCGACATGAGTATTCCGGGTGCGCCAGCGGAAACGCTGTCGCGCAGAATCTGGCAGAAGCGAATGCGGGCTTGTGTCCCGCCCGGCGCATCAGACACGCACGGCGGAGCAGGGGGCGGTGCTCTCGGAAGCGGCGGAAGAGGCGCGTGCATGGGAGAATGCGTACTTCGACGAGGATGTGCAGCACCTTCAAGAGCGGAAGCAGAATCATGCACATCTGAAGAACGCAGAGACGGGGGAGCGGGTGCCCTTACCGGCGTGCCGACGGAAGGACAACGCGAAGCCTTGCAAGGCCGATTTCCCACGTTTGTAACAGCTCATCGGCCGCGCGGCAGTGCTCTGCCCAGGGCTCGCGTCGCAGCTGGATGTGCCGAAGGCAGGGGGTCGGAACCGCGTCGGGAGTTCGCGTTGGCCAATGAACCGAGAGAGTCTAAGCGGAACGCGCCCATGCATGCTGGCCGCGCAGCGATTCTATTCGGACGCAAAGTTGCCGCGCAGGTTGCCGGAAGGAAGCGGGAAGGAAGGCGTGCGCGGAGAAGCAGGACGACGCGGCTATCGCTGAGGTGGTTCAAATAGCCCAGGGCGCCCAGGCGGGGGGCGCGTGCGATTATTGTGCGAAGAGGCAGCGCATGGCCTTCCACGAAGTACGCGAGCGCTGCAAAGGCATCGACAAGCTGGGGCGGCAACTCCACGGGGAGCGCACGAATCGCATCGGGAAGCGGACGACGACCTGCATTATGGGCGACGCGCGCGGGAAGGACATCGTTCGCGAATAGGTGGAGTGCGCGAGTGCGCGGGCCTGCGCCAGGGAGGGCGATGCGACGTCCGCGGAGTCGAGTAAGACTTTTGAGACGACGAGTTTCTACGGACGCGAGCATGTGGAAGCAATCCAACGCCTGTCGGACGGCGCAACGCTCGGGCGGAAAACACAGTTCGCGGAGGTTGACATGCGGAACAAAAGGCATCGGAAAGTGGCGATCCGAGACGTGGCCATGTTGCACGGTCTCCGCCCGACACATGACGACCTGTGGCACCTGTCGCCGCGCGAGTTCACGACGCGTTGGGGCCCCGTTCTCGCGTCGTACCCTGCCGGCATGAATGTCGCGAAAGCCGACTGGGGCAGGCGTCGCGCACTCTTTGCGGAGGGGCGCAACGAAGGTGAAAGAGCAGGCGTGGAAGAAGCAGTGGGCGTCTGAGCTAGAGCCCGGGGAGCACTGCATGGTAAAGGGCGACGCAGGATAAGATTGGGTGGCCTTTTCAGACACTGACGGGCGCAGGCGCCTGCAGCGCGCGCGGGTGCTTGTCAGGGGCGAGGGGCCGAAGGCGCACCCCCGGCCCCCGCGCCGCGCGGCCGAAGTGGCGCAGCGGGGCGGTCCGCGCGCATCGTAATGATGCACTTCCACCCGTGGATTTGGCGGCAGGCTGAGGCGGGCGACCGCGCGGCGTTCGCGGGGGCGCTGCGCGGGGGCGCGAAGAATTGGGCCGCCCTGGTGTTGCGGTCAGACGGCGGGGTGCGATCTGAAGAAGCTGCGCGCTGCGCGGGGGATTTTCCGATCGCGCGTCACGCGCGCCCGAGAGATGTGCATCAGGGTGACGCGCGGAGCGACGAGGACGCTAGCGACGTCGAAATTGAGGTCGGGTTCGATCAATTGGACGAATCTCTGAGGTTTCGCGCGGGGGGGCGCAAATGCCGAGACGGCAGCGGGGGCAGCAGCGGCGGCGCGGAAGATGCCCCAGCGATGGGGCCAGCAGGGCGCCCCCATTACGAGACATCGATGGCGGGCACGTCCGTGGCGCAGCCTGCGCGGGGCTCGCGCGCAAGTGAGATTCCGCTCAGTGATGTGCGAAATTCGCGGCCGGAAGCGGCGCGCCGCGGCCTGGGCGGAGCGCCGGCGGCAGCGCGAGCATCGCGGAAAAAGAGGAAGTCCATGGCAGGTCGGGTGGCGACGGAGGAAGACGCGGGGAAGGCGGAATCGCGCATGGGGGCGACGTCTCGCCAGGTCGCGCACTGGCTCACGGAGCTGAATGTGAGGAAAGAGCAGCAAGCAGGGCGAAAAGTTGCGAACGCGCGGCAGCGCGATATGGTGAAGCAGTTTGCAGAACGGGCGATGCAAGAGCTGGGCGGAGAGGCTGGAGGCGGCGCGGAAATGGGCGAACCGTTGCGGCGGTGCATGCGCGGAGGGCCCAGCGCCGGGAAATCGCGCGTGCTGTGGATTTCGCAAAAGCAGTTGTTCGAAGATCTGTTGAAGTGGACGATCGGCGTTCATTTCCAGATAACCGCCTTCCAGGCAGTCATGGCGCAGCTGCTCGGTGGAGGCACCATGCGCCACGCCTGCGGCCCTCCCGCCGCCGGGCGCGGGAACGAGAAGGGGGCGGATGCGAAGCTTGGGCACGAGGCCGCGAAGCGCGATCGCCGATGTGGATCAGAGGCTGCGGAGCGTCATTGCGGGCGTGGGCGCGCAGGGGCGCGGGGGTGGCGGAGTGCCGCCGTCGCTCGGCGGTCTGAGCGTCGCGACGAGCGGGGATTTTGAGCAGTTGTCGCCGCCGGGCGGAGGTTCCTCGCAGGCGCCCCCGCGGGGCGCATCGCCGCAGCTCGGAAGTAGACCTCGCTCCCACCAGCGCAGCATGGGCAGGCGCTTCTGCGGGGCGGCAGAGTGAATGGGGCTTCAGGCAGTGACGGAGTTGGCAGAGCGCGAGCGGCGCGATGGCGCCTGGCTCGAATCTGCGCAGGAGAAGTTTCGCAGGGAGGCACTGGCGGAGGACGCGCGCGCGTTCCTGCGCGGGCGAGATTCGCGGATATGCGAGATGCATTGCTTCGTGAGGCGGCGAGGGGGTCTCGAAGGAGCCGGCGGCAGGGGGGCGTCGCCCTCGCTCCGCGACGCCGCTGGACATCCGAAAGCAGGAATTTCGGGTGCCAAGGAGGAGCGCGCACGACGCCGCCTTGCATCGACGGGCCAGACGACCTGCGGGTGCACGCGGCGAAGTCTCGCTGCGCGCCTGGAGTGTTCCCGAACAACGACGTCAAGTACGAGGTCGACAGGCTGCGAGCGTCGCAGCGCGCCTGCGTGCACGAGAAGCCCATGATTTACTCGGCCGCGCCCGACGCGCTCCGAGAACGGCCAGATCTACCGCTCCAGAAGATGGCCTGGCTACAGCGCCGCGACATGGAAAGCGGGGACCTGCGTGGTTTCCTGCCCATCGCGGAAGGCATGCCTGTGGCCCTGTCTGGTCACATCGACCGCAGCGCGGACAAGCACTTGCTCCGCGGACGTGTCGGGGCCGTGCACTCGCGGGCGCGCGACGGCGAAGAAGGGGCCGGTCGCGTTGCGCGAGGCGGGGAGATCATATTGCAGAAGACGCCGGAAGTTGTGCATGTTCTTTTCGACGAGGGCCTCGATGAGGACGGAGCCAGAATTGCCAGTGGGCGAATCCAGGCTTGGAAACTTGGTTTGCACCTAGGGGCGCCGCAGCAGAAATATTGGTTCGTTGACAAGGGCCGCCCGTATCCGCGCTTGAAAGTGAAGCGGCGGCAGTTCCCCATGGCGCCAGCGTTTG